CTCAGTCTTCACCCTGATTACATGGGTGGTAAGACCAATGCACGGCGGCTTTTCAGCAAGGAGCTGGGCAAAGAGCTTGTCATGCCACATACACTATATAGACAACATTATCGGGACACTCCTCTTAATCATTGAATTCAGGTGTTTTGTTCATTCCCATTGCCACAGGTGTATAAAACCAAGCACCTAGCCCTGCAGTCTGCCTTTACAAACATTTGTGAAATAATGGGTCGTTCTAAAGAGTCCAAATTGAATTTGAACGTGGCACTGTAATAGGATGCCACCGTGGCAGCAAGTCAGTTTGTGAAATGTCTTCTCTCCGATATATTCCACCATCAACTGTAAGTGGTATTATTAAGTGGAAACGTTTAGGAACTACAGCAACTCAGTGGCAGACCAAGTAAAGTTACAGAGTGTTGTGGGGGGGTGGGGGAGTGCTGAGGAGCAGACTAACCAAAAAGTGGCCAAAGCTCTGCAATAACTGCAGAGTTAAAAAACCAGCTCTGGCATTAATATCATACCAAAACTTCATCGGTTTTCATGGCCGAGCAGCTGCATCAAGCCTTACATCACCAAGCACAATGCCAAGCGTCGGATGGAGTGGAGTAAAGCACGCCGCCACTGGACTCTGGAGCAGTAAATCAAATCAAATCAAGTTTTAAATATATAGCACATTTAAAAACGATTTTTGATCGAGCCAAAGTGCTGAACATGTAATAAAAACACTTTACTACAATCACAATAGAACAGTAGAAACGTGTTCTGTGTGACCAATCATGCTTCTCTATCTGGGAGTCTGATGGACCAGTCTGGGTTTGGCGAATGCCAGGAGAACGTTACCTGCCTGACTGCATTGTGCCAAATGTAAAGTTTGGTGGATGAGGGATAGCTGTTATAGCTGCAAAGGGGGGGACCAACTTCATATTAATGCCTATGAATTTGGAATGGGATGTCACAAAAGCTCCTGTAGGTGTAATGTGTAGGTGGCCCAATACTTTTGTGTATATAGTGTATAAAGAGATGCATGGATGGCACCTCCAAAAGCACATTACAGGGGCAATGGAAAGATGTGGGCTAAAAAGACTAAACACACACACCACCCAGCCACATGTAATGTTTGGTCCAAATCACTGATAAAATAAATATTTATAACATCATTATTATTATTATTATTATTATTATAGGATGTTTTGCATACATGGCTCATTTTTTACCCATGTATGCAAACTTGATGTAGAAATACAAAAACCGTTTTATTTCCTAAATTAAGAAAGCTAGAATGAAAATAATGATGTGTGGTGATCAAAAGCAAGATATTAAATGAATACTTGGAATATTAAAAGATTTAATAAATTGATTTCCAAAAATATAGCGTAAGAAACACTCAGCCATGCATGAAATAACATTGTAAGTCAATACGGGTCATTTTTTACCCATATATAGAAATTTTTATTCATCGGGATAAACCCCTTGAGATGCACCATCTCGTTTTCAAGGGGGTCCCGACAATAGCAACAACTTACAGACATACATAAACAAAAAGANCTACACATGCAAGCGGAGAACACAGAGGAGGCCCATGGTGCTCTGGCACAGGGTGCAGTAAAGACTGAGTAGGCATTGAGGGTGGCAACATCGAGCACATTGTGCCAGAGCACCATGGGCCTCCTCTGTGTTCTCCGCTTGCATGTGTAGGTGCGAACCATCTGATCCATTGTGTCCACTCCTGATTTTGTTTTGTTATAGTACCGGATCACTTCTGGTTCCTTGTTTACACTGTTGTCATCCACTGCTGTCATCATGCGTGGTGCTCAGGAGGACAACAGCTTTCCCCGTCAATACGGGTAATTTTTGACCCATGTTGTCCCTTAGAAGGGTAGTGATAGAAAAATGTTTTTTATTAAAAAATTAAGAAAGGAAAAGTGAAAGTAAGTCTTGTTGATGATCATAAACAAGTTAATTGAGGCATACCTGGACTTTTGAATTGTTAAAGTAATTTGTTGCAAA